TCGATCTTCTGTATACGTTTACAATCAGACTACGAACCAGTTACAAGCCCATCGTCTGAATACGTTTACAATCAGACTACGAACCAGTAACAAACTGATCCTCTGAATACGTTTACAATCAGACTACGACCCAGTTACAAGCCCATCGTCTGAATACGTTTAAAATCAGACTACGAACAAGTAACAAGCCGATCTCCTGAAGACGTTTACAAACAGACTACGAACACGTAAAAAGCCGATCTTCTGAAGACGTTTAAAATAAGACTACGAACCCGTAACAAGCCGATCCTCTGTATACGTTTACAACCAGACTACGAACTAGTAACAAGCCGATCCTCTGTATACGTTTACAACCAGACTACGAACTAGTAACAAGCCGATCCTCTGTATACGTTTACAACCAGACTACGAACCAGTGACAAACCCAGCGTCTCAATCCGTTTACAATCAGACTACGAACCAGTTGCAAGCACATCGTCTGAATACGTTTACAATCAGACTCCGAACCATTTACAAACCCATCGTCTGAATACGTTTACAATCAGAGTACGAACCCGTAACAAACTGATCTTCTGAATACGTTCACAATCAGAGTACGAACCAGTAACAAATTGATCCTCTGAATACGTTTACAATCAGACTACGACCCAGTTACAAGCCCATCGTCTGAATACGTTTAAAATCAGACTACGAACAAGTAACAAGCCGATCTCCTGAAGACGTTTACAATCAGACTACGAGCCAGTTACAAGCCCATCGTCTGAATACGTTTAAAATCAGACTACGAACCAGTAACAAGCCGATCTTCTGAATACGTTTAAAATCAGACTACGAACAAGTAACAAGCCGATCCTCTGTATACGTTTACAACCAGACTACGAACTAGTAACAAGCCGATCCTCTGAATACGTTTACAATCAGACTACGAACCAGCTACAAGCCCATCGTCTGAATACGTTTACAACCAGACTACGAACCAGTGACAAACCCAGCGTCTCAATCCGTTTACAATCAGACTACGAACCCGTAACAAGCCGATCCTCTGAAGACGTTTACAATCAGACTACGAACACGGAACAAGCCGATCTTCTGAAGACGTTTACAACCAGACTACGAACCCGTAACAAGCCGATCTTCTGAATACGTTTAAAATCAGACTACGAACCAGTTACAACCCCATCGTCTGAATACGTTTACAATCAGAGTACGACCCCGTAACAAGCCGATCCTCTGTATACGTTTACAACCAGACTACGAACCAGTGACAAACCCAGCGTCTCAATCCGTTTACAATCAGACTACGAACCAGTAACAAGCCCATCGTCTGAATACGTTTACAACCAGACTACGAACCAGTTACAAGCCCATCGCCTGAATACGTTTACAATCAGACTACGAACACGTAACAAGACGATCTTCAGAAGACATTTACAATCAGACTACCTACCAAGAAAATCAAGTTACCAGATAAAAGTCATTAATTGAAACATTTGACTCCCTTCGATTCTTAATACGATTTATCACCAGTATAACCGTCGATCCTCTGAAGACGTTTACAATCAGACTACGAGCCAGTTACAAGCCCATCGTCTGAATACGTTTAAAATCAGACTACGAACAAGTAACAAGCCGATCTCCTGAAGACGTTTACAATCAGACTACGAACACGCAACAAGCCGATCTCCTGAAGACGTTTACAAACAGACTACGAACACGTAACAAGCCGATCTTCTGAATACGTTTAAAATCAGACTACGAACAAGTAACAAGCCGATCTTCTGAAGACGTTTACACTGAAGACGTTTACAATCAGACTACGAACCCGGAACAAGTCGATCTTCTGTATACGTTTAAAATCAAACTACGAACCAGTTACAAGCCCATCGTCCGAATACGTTTACAATCAGACTACGAACTAGAAACAAGCCGATCCTCTGTATACGTTTACAACCAGACTACGAACCAGTGACAAACCCAGCGTCTCAATCCGTTTACAATCAGACTACGAACCCGTAACAAGCCGATCTTCTGAAGACGTTTACAATCAGAGTACGAACCCGTAACAAACTGATCTTCTGAATACGTTCACAATCAGAGTACGAACCAGTAACAAACTGATCCTCTGAATACGTTTACAATCAGACTACGAACACGTAACAAGCCGATCTTCAGAAGACATTTACAATCAGACTACCTACCAAGAAAATCAAGTTACCAGATAAAAGTCATTAATTGAAACATTTGACTCCCTTCGATTCTTAATACGATTTATCACCAGTATAACCGTAATAGTCGAAGGTATGTTTTGTATGAATTTCCACGGCAAAATGTTTACATTAAAAAGTCTTTAATTTTCCTAGGATAAACCCGCAACCTGAATAACTAAGGTCTGCTGCGTATTTTAATTTAAACAATTAACGATACGCAGAACATGAACATGCTTAAAATATGAATAAAAAGTGTCGAACGAGGAGAATTCGCGGTAGTATTGTTTTCGCGATTTTTGTGGTATGGTGAATTCGTGAATCCAATCTCACACCGAACCTTTTATTGTCTTGCATCGTGACATATCTGCAAACATTTCGTGAATAATTGTTTGTTTTTTCATAAATCGCGATCAATTTAGTCCACAAAGTAAATGTAAAGACAGTGCTTCGATGTCTTGACGAATGAATATATACACACCATGTGATCGGGGCTAATGTTAAAATAACGGATGCACACATACCAAAATCATACATAATCTACCAAATACGAAAACTGATGCTTTACAAACAATTTAAAACTAAGCAGAAAGTAAAGAAAAGACACGAAAACTACCACTTGTTCGTCACATTATTAGCAGTCACACACTTGATCAAAATTCAGGAAACACCTATTATTCATATCCATATAATTTTAACACTTACTCAACAGGCTTTCGTAACAAATTAATTACTCAATAAGTCCATCCATCGTTTTAACGAGTGATTTTTTCTGCAGATCCTTACTGAACCCTACTATAAAGCCAAGTTTTATCATTTTGCCAGGTTTTGACATATAGAATTAGCTACAGTGACACAGAGAAATATCTACGGCTGCATACCTTCTTATCAATTTTATGATCAATCTGTTTTTGTTCATGTAAGAGTTCGGTGTACTGTTTTGAAGCTATTAGTTGTTTTTCCCTCTCGGTCACCAACCTATCATAAAATAATAAAACAAAAACCATATGAAACAAAAAAGTCACGAACAATTATCACAATCAAAATAACATGCAAATGGGGACAATGAATGCAAACTTTCTCTGAATGAATTATTCACATCCATCATGGGTGTCTTAATTGGATGTGACAAACCAATCATTTCCAAACCATAATCGTTTGGTGGTCGTGATAATATGATCATCCTACCTGAAAGGCGTAGCAAATGACAGTCATCAAAGGTGCGTCAATGTATTCAAAACTGGTTTGATGTTGAATTAGTTTCTGAGTATTCCTTGTATGTTAAGATGTTGATATAATTCACTCTCTCACTTTTCAGTTAATTGCTACACTAATTAATTGCAAGCTTCTTTTACTGTTTACACTTTTTGTTAATGAGGTAATTTTGCATTTTTTAAAACAAAATTCATGTTTGTTGAAAACAGCCACTTTCAGGAAACCTATTTACAATGTACCCATATAAATAATATCTTTGTTGTAGATTGCAAACACACAGTACCAATGGTCACCGATGCTGTCAGTGTAAATTCCGCTAACCTAACATTCTTAAATATAAGTTACATTTTGTCCTAGTATTTTTTCAATCTTGTTTCAATATGATGTAACTGTTTAGGGTATTTCTGTCTCTTGAAAAGGGGGCGGATTGCCCGAACAACCTCATCTTATCTACAGTTAGAATGACTTACTTGTCCAATATACAAAATATAAATATACGCATATCAGCACTAAATCAACACAACCATTGCCTTGATCAAAATCTTTTCGATACACATTATGAATCATGCGAGATCAATTCATAGATTGTATTGCGTACTGATCTCCATAGCTAACACACTATCATTAAAAATCTCAAGGCTGTTCATGTTTGAGAAATTGTACATGCGTCATTACAATACATTATTCTTCACTTGTATTAAAGTCCATAACACACACAAACAGCTGGACAAAAAGCTAGTCGCTATTGGTTTGTTTACTATACCCATACCCGTCTACCCATTGACACAACAAACAGGTTTCAATAACAATAAAATACTGGTGTGTTTGCCTAACCTTCTATTATATGATGACTTCGGTCTATTTAACAGTTGACGTTATTTATTTGCTGTTAAATGTAAACGTTTTCATTTACCGACAAAGTGTAAATAACTTGAGCGGTCACATTTTACAGCGCTCTGGTTCAGAAAGGTTAAAATAAAATGTATAACCTAACCTAATTTAAAACCCTAGGAATATTTGTGTCTATAACAATGTAGGAAGTGTTCGTGGTTTCATTGTACTAACAAATGACAGACTTATAAAAATGATCATCTAACGCTATGTAATGTAACTAATAGATGTTCTTTACATAAAATAAATAGATGATTTTTTCATCAATGAAACAAATCAATCACCCTTAGTAGCACACAGCGGGTTTTAATGCTTTTCATCATTGTGCCATAAATAAACTAATCGTTGTTGTTCAAATTGAATTGTAATAGTAAAGCAAAATCTGGCATCTTGCTTATGCATGAAGTATTAATAATAATCTAATTTCAACCCAAACAATACAGTATCCACTTAATAACGGTATTCCAATATGAAACAAGTACTAATTGTAATGGCGGACCATTACAGAAATCCCCCAAACTGCCCCCATAGTCGCAAAGATGCATCAGAAAAGGATCACAATGGCATAAAACACCTTCATACTAAATTTGAGTGAAATCGAACAATATCTGAATTTCGACCAATCTGAACCCTCCATGCTGTTGGTATGGGAACGAAAAATATGCAGTTGAATTCTCAGTCCCCTAATACCCCGATATACCAAATTTCATAAAAAAACAACCAATATATAAATTTCGACCAATCAGAAGCCTCCGTGTGGTTGCTATATAGTTATTATGGCAACGAAACCTATGCTGTTTCATTCGCAGTCCCCTAATACCCCTATATACCAATTTTTATCAAAATCGAACAATATCTACCCCATAGTCGCAAAGATGCATCATAAAATCGCAATGCCTTCATACACCTACATATTAAATTTGAGTGAAAAGGAACAATTTCTAAATTGCGACCAATTAGAAGCCTTTGTGTGGTTGCTATGGCAACGAAGGTATGCGATTGAATTTGCAGTCCTTTAATACCCTTATATATTGATTGTCATCAAAATCGAACACTCTTTTAATTTCGACCAATCAGAAGCCTCCGTGTGTTGATATAGCAACATAACCTATGCGATTGAATTCGCAGTCCCCTAATACCCCTGTAAACCAATTTCACAAAAATCGAACAATAACGGAGTTTCGACCAATCAATAACCAGTATATGGCGGCCATTAAGTCTAATTAGAAAGCAGATGTCATGGTTGGGTTCGCCGTACCATCATACACCTACATGCCAAATTTGGAATGCATTGGAAAATATCAATAAAGCATGTAAAATAGGATAGGTGACATTAGCCATCTTTAAATTAAGCGAACACCTTCAGAAATTTTAAATTCCCAAAAATTTCAAAATTCGTGGCGGCCATTTTGTTGACAATGTCAATTTATTTTTCGACTTTAGAGCACGTCCTATACCGATACTTTCCTTAAAATTTATTTTGATGCGCCAAATATAACAAAAGCTATGGCTCAAAATGTATTAGCCAATCAGAGGCCGTAGTGGCCATATTGGATCGTTATCGGAAAAATAAAAATGTGTTTGCACATCTAGAGGCTATCAGTAATAATCCCTCAAAGTTGAAGATCCAACTTATAGTTTCTGAGAAAAGTGTCGGAAACCTTTATGGGGGACTTAATAAAATTCAAACATACTCTTACGCTGGTGGACTAATTTTCAAAGTTAAAGGTGCCATCACACATATGTGTCAGAAATTCATCTTTCAAAGGATGGCCTGATAAACGTGGCCTTGTTCCTGTGACGGTATAGCCTACGTTTCATTCGTTTAGATCAAAATAAAATATATTGCGTAAGGAAATCAAAATGAAGGATTACAAAACAACAACAACTTCATGCCAATACGTTTCAGGTATATCCTATAAACAATACATACCATTTTTACATATGATGAAACAGTAAAAGGTCCGTTTGTAAGTTCAAGCTGACATCTGCAAGTTCATTATTTCAAAAGTGTTCATCTGTGTATCTTACGCAGAAAAAATAGCCCATATTTCATCATTTTATGTCTGTCATAGGATAAAAATGTCCAAATTTTCGTTCTTTTACAGAAGCGTTTTTATACGATCATTTTAAAAAACATAATCAATTCAAGGAACAAAATTAAGAAGATAATATTTCTTTTAATACGCATAATAATCAAAGCAAAATATCAATTATTTTCTATCTACTCAGAATTTTGTAGACCGTTATGTATCCTTTATTCTGTTTGATTTTAGATATATCTTCGCACCAACCTTATTCATATAAATTATGATCACCTTGCCCAAGTGATATTTGAAACATCATCTGTTTAAACATGAAGACTCCCTTGCAAGCACATTCTCCGGGCCACGTTAGGTTAAATTCAAACACCGGTACTGAAGGTAGGTTTAAGTTTGGCTAACCTACAGTGGCCCGCACCTCTGCTTAGAGGGAACACTCTATTTTAACAAAAATTGAGTCGCTTTGACCCAAGGAGGCTCTTGGCCAAAACTAAGCCATTCTTTACTAGAAAGAAATATCAAAAAAAATTAATGGACGGCCAACGGACGCTAAACCAATGCATAAGATGATACCTTTGACCTTAAGGACAGGTGAGCTAAAAAAACGAAAAAATCCTCTTCTTGTATTCAATATAACGGATTTGTTCAACAGCATGGTTTATTTATTTATGTATTTGTTTACCTGTTTACCTGTGGGTTTTACATCGCTTAAAATATTTGCATTCGTAATACCATTCACTTAGAAATCTTCATAAATAGTCAAGTGTCAGGTAATTCTATATATTTCCACAAAGCGTACGTTGTAAGAATTTGAATAACGATTACCTGCTCATTTCATCGACTTGGTTATCCTGCAGGAAGAAAAAAACACACCAAATGAATGGGCACATCAAAGCGATAAAGAAATGAATCAGTGAAAAGCAAGAAGTATAACAATGAGGTTTTTACTTGTTTTTAAATTTAAAAGCACAGTATTTTTAAAGACGTTATTCACAAAGCAATTATCGACAGAAGTATCACTAAGATCACTTCTAAACTACTGGCAGACATTCATATTATATATGATGTAGGAAAGATGTAATATATTTATATTTATTTTTATAAACAAGAGGCCCAATGGGCCTGCATCGCTCACCTGGTATTAATCTCACACTTGTTATCTTAAAAGTGGACTAAAACACAGCTACAGGCAGAATATCAGTGTTTGATTCATTAGAACCTATTAAAAGATTTAAACATATGACGCCTGTGACCTTGAATGTCGAACAAGGACATTAGGTTGAAAGTTGGTCAAGGTCATTTCGGGCCTTTCGGTTATTGAGAAGAAGTCGTTTGAATAATTTACGACATTTGACCCCTGTGATCTTGAAAGTGGGCCGTGGTGATTTATTTGAACAACTTGGTAGCCCTTCATCCCAGCATGCTACAAGCCCAATATCAGTACCTTTGGTCTTTTGGTTATTGAGAAGAGGTCGTTTGAAGATTTTGACACATTTGACTCCAGTGATCTTGAAAATGGATGAAGGTCATTGATTTGAACAAATTTGGTAGCCCTTCATCCCAGCATGTTACAGGCTTAATATAAGTACCCTGTGCCTTTTGGTTATTGAGAAGATGTCGTTTAAAGATTTTAACACATTTGACCCCTGTGACCTTGAAAGTGGATCAAGGTCATTTATTTGACCAAACTTGGTAGCCCTTTATCCCAGCATGCTACTGGCCAAATAGCATCAGCCTGGGCCTCTTGGTTATTCAGAAGAAGCTGATTAAAGTAAAAAGTTGACGCCGGACGGACGACGGACGCCGCACCATGCCATAAGCTCACTTGGCCCTTCGGGCCAGGTGAGCTAAAAAGCATAATTTGATGTAATTGTAAATATAACAAAACTCGTATAACTCTTAAGAAGCCATTTACAAAGCAACATATAAAAGAGTGAAAAAACACTGACATGATATAATCTGGATTGAGTGTAAGTTTAAGTGATATTATCCGAATAAGCAAGTTAAGATAGTAAAGTTATATTATATAGATACCAATAAAATAATTGTATGTTACTTCCAACTGTTATCCGAAAATATTCTACTCATGGCTAAAACATTAGTATTTGTTTTAGACAAGTTTGAGCTTAAAACGTATTTGGCAATAATGCATTAGATTTGTAATTGCGTTCTTAAGCAACCACTTAGTAGAAACCCCAATAACGATAAGATAAACCGGCTTACAAAAACGACCATTTGTCATTCCAACCTTGATGGAGTTAGACGAGAGACATTAAAATGTATATGATTCAGACGATACGGAGCGAAAAGAGAAGAAACATTCTATCATAAAACCTTGCATTACAAACTACTTAAAAATATAATCTAGAAGAAAGTGCATATCTCCAGGCAGCTGTTATATAAAAGGACACACATAATAGGCTTAGTAGACAAACTAATGAGAAGTGCACAAGGGGAATACCTCACCTCATGTTTTCAAATAAAAGGTTAAGTAGTAGCCTATTGTGGTTCTGAGAACACTAGTTATAAGCGTGTATATTAGTGATTTTAAATGGCAAATAGTGTCGATGAAAAGGGCCATGTCGGGTGAATATATATTAGATACATGCACTTATACAAAGGTGTCTTGTATTTTACTTACATCATCCATGAGGTTTTCAAACTGAAATAGAGGACCAAAGTATTAATATTATATTCAATAATTAATCCAAAGATAGAGAAAGCGAGGGGGGTTATTAAAAGATGACATGAGTAGAAAAGATTCTAAGGTGAACAGTAACTGTCTTGTTGAACAATTCAACAATACATACATTGATACTCCGCTGTGATATTCAGATATGGTACAATGAAAACCGCTCGTGATATTCAAAACCCAGGTATATCATTATGTGCTTTAAAGAGTATGAAAAGCGAAATTACTGAACGGTCAACATTACACACCTTTCCATTCCGAATACACGGGAACTTTGTGAACCTAACGACAATCACCTGTTCCCACGACAGAAACATGACCTGTATATCTAATAAGTTTTTAAATATAAATCATAAGCATATAAAATCTACACGTTCAACAGTGTTCATAAAATAATTAAATAATAAATGAATTGAATAGATATAGCGTAATTTTTAATTGTCTTAGCACTATTGATTTCATTTCAAGTAAAATAAGATACAAAAAAACACCGTAAAATGCTTATAACACACATATGCCCCGGTCCCCGGTTCTTGTTTTGATAAACATTGAGTAAAACGCAAAGAATAACCAAACTCAGTGAAGCGGAAAATATCGGTCACACGGAACACATGATGATGTAATACTATCTTCATGGGTTTTTTTTATCTTCATGTCAAGTTTTATGTCTGTGGGAGTTGTAACATGTGAGAAGTGGAAATATACTCAAAGTCTAACAATAGCATACGCTCTCTTGGCTTTTTGACCAGGTGAGTCAGCAACGCTAGAATGTTTGTAATTTTTTTAATATACAAACAATAAAATCACTGAACATATGGTATGGTATTAAGCAAGAAAATGCTTATAAGTTTCTTTCATGCCCGAAGGTGTAGGATGTGAACTTCACCAGAGGGTTTTCAAATAGGGTAAAACCCTTAGACTTGTCGAGGGTTTTGCACCAATTTGAAAATCCCTATCCTTTAACCCTTGGCATGAAAGGGTATTTTCTTTTATTCAAATCACCTGAATAAGCTCAGAAACCATAACAGCGTCGCAATTTCCCACAAGTGTCCCGTTTTGGGTACTGTCCAGTTTCGGGTCCACTGACGTTTGACCTACATATACTAAGAGCCTTCTACTTTTCTCTGCAAAGTATTATTCAAAGGCGTAACCTATTTCTATGCCATCAAATTACACTATTAATAAAAGAAGATTGATTGAAATAAAATATTAAAGTCTTTACTCTTTATCTCTGCGGGTTTTCGACTTTATTTCTATAGATTTTCGTTATCGTACATTATCTTGAAATAACCCTATTGTTTATGTAAATGCTAACAACAGGGCACCTATGAAACATATCTCAACAATCGGAGATAGGACAGACCCCACAATCGGAGATAGGACAGACCAGACTGTCTTTGTTGACCATTCAATGCAAAGAAATACACAACGAATAATGACCGGGTACGTTCGTATCAAACACTCACCATTGTATATGAATGACAACTAATGATTTGAAAGTAGTTTCTCTAGTTCAAACAAAATCTTTAAATCTTTTATTCAGGTTTAAGAGCCAATAAAATTCACACATGCCGCATTTAACAAAAACATATCACGTGATATGTTTGCACCAATGTTATAAAGTCTTTTTCATGTAAGTATATTCTATTTACAGCTTGACGTCAGTCTCGAGTGTTCTCGAGTAGTATCATAGAAAGCATTACAGAGTAAGCAACCGGATACCCGACAGAAAAGAAAAAAAAAACAGCAACGTCTCTTTATGACACAAAGAAGTGTGTATCACTGAACATGTATGGAAATAATTTAATCCATGTTCTTCGTTAACAATGGGATGTACTCACAAGGATACAGATACATAAAGAAATTGTGTTTTAACTGTGCACGATGTTGTTTGGAGACGCATCCACCTGGTCAAAAATTGGTCTACTGGTGGTCACACTTGCGCTTGCCCTGTATATAGCCGGGTATGCGACTGGCTCATGGATGGTGGAGAGGACAATTCGTGAAAAGGTGGACGTATCAGTTGGATTGTGGAAAATGACCAACTGCTCAGACACCTGCCTTGAAAGTGACGTTCCCGCTCAATACGCAACAGGTGAGTTATCTTGAACTCATCAAAGTTACGGAAAACATTCGATTGAAAAGTATGGTATCAGAAAACAAGAGGCCCATGGGCCTTAATGGTCACCTGATATATTTATACAGAGAGTTGATTTCGTTTTTAACATGAACAGAAATATTATTCAAAGTGACAAAAAACAATAAAACCACCTTATTCAATATCAAGCATACAGATTTCAGACTAAAAAGGATTTGAAACTAGCACCTCTGATTCTAAACAAGGAAAATGAAGAAATTTTAGCACACTGACTCCCTTGAGCCCCACCCTACAGCCCTTGGGGGTAGGGCTGGCTCAAAATTTTCAAAGTATCAAACTGTCAACTCAAGGTTATAATTCCAATCAAGTTATTAACATG